CACTTTGGCCAGTGTGCTGTGGAAGAGCTAAGTTGCGCTACTCAGGGGTCACTTTGGCCAGTGTGCTGTGGAAGAGCTAAGTTGGGCTACCCCACAGTCCTACGGGTGGGGAAAAATCAAGATGGGGAAACCTCACAGGTCTCAGGGAATCTGGTAGAAAAGTGCAAGAAGCGAACCCTTCGATCTCATTATCCTCATCTTCGGTCTGCTGGAACGCGGCAAACAGACTCCTTACTAATTACCAGAGTCCAACGTCGCCTGTTGATCGCCCCCGAGATCTTATCTGGACGCAAAAACTTGTATAATTATAGGCTGCAGGTTTTTAGCGGTTTTTTTTTTTTTAGTGGGATGTGTTTTTTTGTGGTTTGAGTCTTCTGATTCTGTTGCTTTAGACAGTTTCTCATTAGGTTTGCTGCACATCGAAGCAAAACGCTCCGATCTGACCCTGGGCCTCCCGCGAACAGTCGACTTCAAACCAGCTATGAACCGTGGACGACCCCACAAAGGTGGATGCTATGGGCCACCAGCACGTAGAGGGATCACTTAAGTAGCTCAAAAACCCAATAGAGCACGTAAAAAACCAGTAGACCTAATGAGAAACTGTCTAAAGCAACAGAATCAGAAGACTCAACCCCCCCAAAAAAAAACATGAGCAAACTCACCTGTCTTCCTTCCTTCCTTCCTTGCTTGCTTGCTTCCTTCCTTCCTCCCTTCCTTCCAGAGCCCCTAAAAGAAAAAATAGTATCCCACCCCGCCAAAAAAATATATATATCCCACGGAAATATGCCCTTATAGGCTGATCTGGACGCTTCCTTCGTCCCAACAACTCCTTCCAGCTCTCCCAGAACCTCCTCCCAGCCACCCTGAAAAACTTCCAACGCGCCCTTCAGTCCTTCCTGGTACAGCTCAGCATCACTGGCACCAGCTCCTCCCAATTGCCGAGCTTCTGCTGCATGGCCAAGGGTTCGAGGCTGAAGCGTGCAGAGGCAATGGCCCAGGCGTGACCGATCCTCGCCAAGTGCTTTGTCGCGTGTTTGGGCGTTCGAACGGCATCGGTGGAGCGGTGGAGGGGGCGCGGACTTATGGGCGGATGGGCCGTTGGTGTTTTTCGGTGTTTTTGGTGTGCTTGATTTTGGCGTGACGTTTTTGATCTGTTGTGCTTTGGTTATTGCCTTGGATCAAATGATCTGTGCCGATGGCCACTGCTGCAGGGGTACATCTGCCAAGCTGAAGCCACTCGCAGTGGTTTAGTCCTTCCCTCGTGATTCATGAATGCTGTCCAAGATTCAAACTACTCCATACCAGGCGAAGGGGTCCCCCAAACAAGTCCAAACAAAAACCTGGATACTCCCACACTGGACGATCATATGTAAAACAAATCCTACCCTGAAGTGGTGGTTTGGGAGGACTCTTGCATGACCAAGTTGAAGAACCTTATAGACTATCCCAGTTGGGTACCCCAGGTTATGGTCATTCTTCACTTAACCTCTCTCCACTCAGTGCTTCATTCCGAGCATCTCATCTTCCCTCCGTCTCAGCTTCTCTAAGAATGCTTTGGGCTCATCGATGGCGGGCTGTAGCTCCTCTTCAGAGCATGCAAACAGACGGTCCATGAGTTTCTTTTTGTCGGCTTGCAGGAAGAACAGGATCATCCGGAGAATCTGGCATAGATTCTCAGAATCCCAACATTTTATGCTTCCATGGCTTCCTGCTGCAGGTTGCAAATGGAATGAACCGCCCAATTTCATGCGGCACTCTGTGGACTGGACCTGGACAGCGTCCCACAGGTAGATGCTTCCTTCTATTGGTTGGTTCAGGTTCCTCTCTATCGAATCCACGAAGCGTCCAAGAACTCTTAGCTCCAAAAGGGTGTACCAATGTGTGTGTGTGTCATCCTCATGGGATGCAAATTTCTGGGTCACTAAGGCCCCATTCATAGTTGCCTAAAAGGTCTTCAGGGGCCTGTGAGCCATGACGCGATCGGGCTTTATTGAATCAGTTTTTGCACGATTTTTTTCTCTTGCGCGCCGGCGTCGTGGCATCAAGGCCCAGGTAGGTAGGTATCCTTTACCCGGACAGATGAAATAGAGGCAGGAGAAACGAAATAGACGTTTTTGTTTTGTGCAACTTGAATCTCAACCACTTGCACACATTCATGAAAAGGATGTCAACATGTGTTCAGTTTCTGCGACGGCAATGGATCACGAGATGGATCTGCAGCAGCCGCTTTGGTGACGCCGCGTCGGCGCATGGATGCGGGAACTCCGTTTCTGCAACTTGGCGTTACGAGCAGTTGTTTAAGGTAGCAGATGCTACGCGATGGATGGGGTGGGGTGGGGTGGGGTGGGGTGCTATTGACATGTGCTCTTACATGGAGACTTTTAATGGCGACAAAAGTCGTATGTGCAAGCCTCGACACCACACTTTGTTTCATTTGATCTGAGGAAGCTAGTCTCTCACAGTCCTTCTAGGCCATCTACTTCAGCCCCTGCAACGCCTCCGCAACGACGGCCAATACTGGCCACTTGATGTCTTAAGTTCTCTTTTCCCAAACTTTTTTCATTCTCCCCTGTAGTGTGGACGTTGCACGCTATCCGCATGATGGTCGTGGAATTGCTATGAAGGACTTTTGCAGTGTTCAAGGGTTGGCATTTGCTTTTGTTCCACGTCTCGTTGGAAGAAGAATAGCCTAAGAACATGCTTGCAACGATGACACGGAAACCACATTCAGGAACCATTGTCTCCTTGCTCTTGGGAAGATCAACATGACTACGACTACGATCAACCTTTGACTCCTTTGAGTCGTGATCTTCTACGCGGACAAATGCAGCGCAAACGAGAATTGGAAGATTCCTCATTGCAGATTTCAGCTTTTTATTCTTTTTTGGTTGCAGACCTTGCCATGCTAACTTTTCCAAAAGAAGAAGGGCCTCATTCTGCGGACGGTTTTTTTTGAACTTAATCAACTGCAGGAAATGGAGTCCGAAGCGGACCTGCAAGATGATCCTTGTGTGCAGCCAAACCTGCTTTGTATGCTGACGGGGCGCTCTCGTGGCAGAAAATTGCCAAAGACTTGAAGGTGCCGATAGTGCAAGTCAGCCATCAGAGAAAAGTTTTTGCTAAGCGGGTGTCGGCTCCACGCTAAGCTGTGTTGAAGTTAAGAGTGTACCAATGGCTGTGGCGCCGAAACCTGAAGGTTACCACAGATCTCACACCTGATGAGATGCTGAAGCAGCTAGCTGCTGCCTGCAAATTGCGCTGAAAGAGAAAGTGTGCGTCGTCGGATGTCGAAGTCATTAGTTTCGGACGACCCCAGTTTCATAGTTTTTTCAATTTTGATCGGAATTCCAAGGCGTTTTTGCCGACCATGCCGCTGCCGTCCACAGGGTCTCAGGGACGTTGTACCTCATAGTTCCTAGTTGGTCACTCACCAATATATAGATCTGTGTAAAGCCGGGTTCGGTGAGACTGCAAGGTTTCACTCCACCCATTCTTCCAACAGGTTTAACTCCAGCACGATCGGATCGTGCCTCGGTCTCGGGAACAACCTCTTCACGGCACACCAGGTGCTTGAGAATTATATAAACCAAACACCCCCGAAAACTAACATGGACCCTCAAAACCACTGGTTGTTAGTACGTAGAGGAAAACAATCTTCCAGGTTACCATTGTCAGGGTCTCTGTTAGTTTCGGGAGTGTATGTTTCCTGAAAGAATTATCATCGGTGGGTTTCCACTTCCATGATCATTTTTGAGGAGTGTCAGTATGAGACTCATCCAACTGTGAACAGTTCATTGATCGACAAAACCCGAGGCCTCACCCGATCGATAAAACACCGTAACCACACAGCTTACAACATCTACCATGCACGACCTGGTGCTCCCTTAACCAACATAAAGCAACCAATGAAAGGACCTGTATGACTGTAGGACGTCCAAAACTCTTTGTAAGTGGACATGGCTCATCCTCTTTGTGTTCTTGTTCAACCCCCGAACATGGACCCCCTCGTCCTCCAGCGTGCTGAACTGATGGAAGACGCATCGGGCGTCGTGCCAGGATATCTTCAGCTCCTGCAGCAGCGGCTCCACGAACCTCGGCCATTAAGGGGCAACCAGTACCCACCGGTGGCCAAGGTTCTAGACTCTATTTTAAACATTGGAATTCTGGAACCTTACTTACATGATCTTACATGGCTTTACTGTTTCTTCATGAAGAGGGATCCCCAAGACCAAAGCTCTGCATGAGGAGGCATTGGTGGAAGAGTGGGAGATTGGTAGTGTCTTCATTATATCGATCAGGACAAACATTTGCCGAAGAAGAAGGTGGGCAAACAAATTCAGGGCCGGTTCTGATACCTGAATGTGGAAACTTGCAAACAGCTGAAATTCTCTTGGTGTATACAGTATTATATACGCCCTGGAAGATTACCATGGAACCTGAAAACCACCGGTTTGTGGAAACTAGTCTTCCAAAGGTCAATTTTCTGGTTCCACTGGTTCCATGCTAATCTTCATGTAAGGCCAAGCCCCCCACAAGCAAGGCGCAGGTCTCACCATGCTTCACTGCCATCCTGAGCCTTCCTCAAATCTGAAAATCCACTACCCCAACACCCGAAGGCAGGTGAAGGCACATACGCAGCCTGGCCGAAGCCATCCGTAGCGCCGTTGGCAGTTCCTTGGGGACAACCACGGGGACAACGAAGCCACCAGGTGAAGGTGCGAGGGTTGCGGGGCAGAATGATGGACTCTCAATTGATCCATGTTGATGAATTGAATAGTTGCATCCGCCCGATGACCTCAAAGTAAGGAACTATTCAATGCATGAATGGTCTCAATCATTGACTTCCACATATTTCCACCAAAAGCGAATGTCGAAAATAATTGAGCAATTCAATGGAACAAAACACAGTTTCACCACACATAGGCAGGGCCTTCTTGTGGAGCTCTTGCATAGCATGTTGCACCTGAGAGGGTTCCTCAACTTGCGGTCAAAGAACCAGAAAAACAAAATATAACTATAACATCTTCACCAGAAGGGATTCACTACATGGAGAAAATTGCTTGAACATATTAAAATCACTCTCTCCGCAAAACCAGGTCAAAGTATAGACTTCCTGCCTTCCCCAGCGTTTCCTCACTAAACCCCCGTTGATCACCCCAATTCAGCGTTCCAGTCTCCCGTTCCTCCAGCATCTCTTGCAGCTTTGGCCGTCGTGCCTGGCCCAAGGCCATCAAGCGCACGTCGTCGCGCGTGCCGGGCATCACGTAGACGAAGGCCTCTGGGTTTTGACCCAAGGCAGCGAGGACGATCTCGCACTTGGATCTCAACCTGAAGGCAGGGCACGACCTTGTGTGCGACTGTGCGACTGGAATCAAAGCAAGTGCACCGTGTCAGTGTCAGAATACTGTAGATGTCAAATCCAGTGATTAAGAATAGCTTCGGGGGGAACATCCAACATTACAAATTACCAAATCCAGGATGATCAGAGGATCGTGACTGTCCATTTTTATCTGGCCAACTCCTACTAGTACAGTCCTAAGTCCTATCTGCAATGCATGGGGACAGTAAGTCGATTTCGCAGGAAATCCGCCTGCCACTGGCATATTCCAGTGCGAGGCCATTCTGGGCGACAGCTGCGTAGACCACCTCCTCGTCGTCTCGCAGCTCTTCAGGCGCCCAAACCAGCACCATGCCATCACCCGCTACAGCGGTACGCACCACCTGAACGAGAGACGAACTGTGTGGTTCTAAGCTGTCATGACCCACGGCAGGTGAAGGAACTGAGACAGTCACCATGGAACATGATGAGTGGCCACAAATCTTCTTCACGGGAGGAATATTCAAAACGTTCACCATCAACAACTACCCTAGACAAGCGTCTCTATGGTTGAAATAGCCTTAGTAAGTGTTCTTCATTCATGACCTTTGTACATGACATCATGAGCCCTACAGATCCTGCGATATCGTGATTCCATTGGGTGAATCCTGACACCCATCCCTTGCTCAAAGCCTTGAAGAGGCTGGTGAAAACGACTCGAAACGACTAGGCCGGTAATGCGCCGGACATGTTTTTTTTTGGGGAAAACAAGGAACCTCGGAACAACTTGTGTTGCATAAGTGGAAGTGTTCAATTTGGTGTATGTATGTTTGCAAATCCAAGAGCAGCAAAGCTATGCGTTGGTCTTGTCAAACATATATGTATCTTGAGCCCATGTTGCCCCTGTTTTTTGCACATACATCATTACATTACATATTAATATCTGAGCATATTTGAGCGTTTTTGTAGGAAGTTACACATCTGCTATTTTTCTGCTTCTCTCCTCCGCCTCCTGATCATGAATCTGATCCACCAGAGCATGAGCCAGTGCTCTGGGCGACCTCTTCACCGCCAAGAGGAGCAAGTCTCGATCATGCCGAAGCCGTGGAGAGACGTGCAAGAACTGCAAGCCGTCATTGTTCACCGCGGTGCGCACGATGTCGTCATCCTCGAGCCGTGGACTGTTGGATGGACTCGTTGGATGGGTCATGTTTGGTTGGCGGGTTCAGAACTTCAGGACATGGAACAAACCTGATGTTTTCTTCCTGAAGTCAAGTCGGCAAAGCAAAGAAATGACCCGCCAACGCACACCCATCGATCCGGTGAGGATTGTGGGCCAAGGGTGTAAACACTACATGGAATCGACTTTAATCAAGATGCTTTATATAGACCCCCAATTAGTAAGAATAGTAGATCCCCACTAAACATATAGCGGAAACCGTTTCTATCAATTTGGGGACAACTATAACATGATTTAACCTGCTTTGAACATGAATATATCTTCACTTTACCGTCTGAATATGGTGCCACAATGGGAACATCTTGCAACGGAAACAACGCATCAACTCCTAGGAACGTCCCTGTTTCACTACTATCTTGCAACATTCAGTCCACACAGCAAGTCTCTGAAGTTGCATCATGTTGCATTTGGGGTACCCTCCCACCAGGGGGGATGCAGCACGCTCACGTCGCAGCAACCGCTCGGACCGAGCGTCGTCGCGCAGCTGCGCCGAGCAGTGGATGAGCGCCGCGCCGGTGTTCGAGACCGCTTCCATGCAGACCTCCTTGTCGTTGGAAAGGCCACCGGAAACAAACTCCAAGGCCAAGCCGTCGTTGCCCACAACACCCTTCACAAAGTCCTGGAGATGGGCGGAGATGCAGGGTTTCGTTGTAAAGGTGCATAGGTGCAGGTTTAGATGGCTCTTTTTATAGAATCGAATGCTGAAAGCACATATGTGATGATAGATTACTGGAAATGTACAGGATGTTTGAAAGCTTATCAATGAACAACTAACATAGACTGTTCGACCATGTTTCGAGACCAATCACATGAACAAAGCACTCTGCCGATCCCTACACCCATCTCTACAATCATTCCCTACACCCATCCCTCTACCCATCCCTATAGAAATCGTCCTTCTCGCAGCGCCAGCGATCAGAAGCGTACTGCAGCGCCAAGGGGTTTTCGCCACACGCGGCGTCCACCACGTCCTCGTCGCCTTGCAACTCTTGCGTCGCATAGGCCAAGGCGAAACCATCTGCACGGACCGCTGCCAGGATCACCTGGGAAGCGCCATCGGTTTGGTGGCATCGGTCTTTTTCCACGGAACAGGAGAACATGGTTTATTTTCATTGTTCATGTAGACTTTAGATGTGATTTCTATGCTTCGGAAGGCCAGAGACACTCAAAACATCACTCCTTCTATGACCGGATGGTCATTGATCCTTCTCCAAGCAAAAGTATAGCGAATGGACGATTCAATCCTTCCTTTTTACTGTAAACAATTCCACCACTCAGTGACTGGATTAGCTACCAGAAAATAGAAGGGGAAACTTCCGATTCTTGGTCATGTTTGGAGCAGGACTTCAGTATACCCAGAACACCTGAGCAGGAAGTGAGTGCAACATCGTGCAAAAAGGATCAGTTGCAAAATGTTGCAGCGTCTATGGGCCTGTAATTTTGCAAACTTTGGACCTGAAAGTAACCTCCAGCACCTCAATGGCAAGAATTTGGCAAGAATCTTCAAGCTCCGCTGAGCAAGGGCTCACAAACATACAAGGATGTACAAGGATTCTCCAACATTCATTGCCCATCACTTGCATCTCATGGACTCGAAAATCCTTGGCCCCTTGGTTGAATCAATAGATCACTACCTTATGAACCAGAAAGTCCTGCAGGGAAGGCCGACACCACTTTACAGACCAAAACATCTGGGAATCACAAGCAGGTCAGGTCAAGGTGGAATGATCATTTTAGTAACAATTATTAGGTTACAATGTATACTGTTTACAAACATAAATCAGTAAAGTAATGTTGACACTGGATTAAGTAACCTCCCGTTATTAATCAAGCCCAGCTCCCCCAGAAAAGAAAAACACATATATGTATATATCTTTATTCTTTTTGGGCAGTACTCAATATCTTCTCCTCCATGGTGAAACAAATCTTCTGATCCACCTGTTTCTTCTCATCCTTCCCTGTGAAAACACAAAACACAAAACTTGCTAGCAAAATCATGTCATGTTCCCTTATTAAAACACTATCAACACGTTAAGGTGTTCAACCTCACACAGGCCCTACCACCCTCGAATAGTAGGGCCCCTCCCCCAATTAAAAATTCAAGCCCAGCTGCCCCCAGAGAAAAACAAATAACACACGTATACTATTCATTTCAATCAACGAAAACATATTGTCTTCCAATCGAATTCATCTCTTTCCTAATCATCCCAATCCCAATCTTTCCTAATCTTGTCATCATCTCATCATCCATCATCAGGTGATCACCTTTATTAAGGGGATGCGGTCTCCAATCCTTCCAATCTCAAACTTTGTTGACCTTGAAGGTGGGGTTGATCCGGTGTCGACATTATATATATATTATATGAGATTATATATATGAATTTAACACATGTTCTTCGTCCACCTGTTCATGTTTCTTGCTTGGACAACCCTCCCTTGCTACGCTGCCTCCTTGTCTCCGCGCACGCGGAGGCTGGCATAGGCCACCGCCAATCCGCAGGTTTGCACCGCGTCCAAGGCCACGTCCCCATTGTCGCGCATCGCGTCCGGCAGGAAGCGCAGCACGGCACCATCCCGTCGCAGCGCAGGCATGATGACCTCGTGCGTTGGCGGTGGCGCGGCGTCGTGTGGTGGCGGTGGGTCGGGTACTTTGACGGTTCTGACAGAGGAGGGGCTGGAAGATGAGGGTTAGGGTTTTAGTATGGTTTAATGGTTATAGGGCCTGGTTAGGAGTTGTTTGAGGGTTTTGGGGAGGTGGCAAGTGGGTGTGAGATGCAAATCTTGATAAAGACCCTGCCAGTTAAGGGATCCTCTGCCAAGCGAACGGGGCTGACTGGAACGAAAAACTCGTCCACAGCTCAGATGATGGATGGCAGTTGACCTCTATGCTAGGTGCAAAAGCGAGGGGGATCATGATGAAGATCCTTTTGTGCCTTTTCTACGCGGTCAAGGCAATGTTGGGGAACCTTGACACCAGGAGAATGGACAGTTTCCACTTTTTGTAGACTCTTGATTAGTAAAGCGTCTCACAGGAAAGAGGTTCTACACTCTATACAATCAACGGCCTACAGCTGTTGATTATACCGAGCTAGTCCCAGGAACTCTCCAACAAATGAGATCCCCTGAGACCTCCGCACCTCCAATGAGTCTTTCAACTCCTCGTCTGCGAATTCCAAGGCTTCTGGATCATGCTTCCTTGGAGGACATGGATGTGGGACATTGCGCTTCCGCCCAATTGATGCGAAAACGCGCCGGTGAGATCTCCGAAAAATCCCGCACAACGAGAGCGCCAAGCTGACCAACATGCCAAGGAGGTTCTGGACACCGGTGTCAAACAGGCTACGTGTTTCACCAAGGAAGGACTGACCGTGATAGTCCATCTTCAGTCTGTGACTCGAAAACAGGCACTGCTTGGGGCAAAAGCCACTGGCCCATGTCTCGCTTGGATGAGTTCTCAGCATAGCTCGGCAAAACACCAGGTACAGAACTCTACAAAACCTATGGATCAGGAAAGAAGCACCCTACATACGGGTTATGTACAGTTCAATTTGGTACACGCAGGAGATGCCCCTCTTAACTCCCGAAAACAACATGGGTTGGCACCCAAATCAAGTTGACCTTCTCAAGGGTTTCACAGTTTTGCGGCCGTAGAAGTGTACACTTTTTGGCAACCAGCATCCCAATCTTTACATGGTCCTTGCAGAGTGCCATGACACTGTCATCCTCTGTCATCCCTCCATGTCAGTTTCGTAGCCAAGCGGCAGGGCTTCCATGACCACGAAGTTGTCTCGTCTCAGATTCTCCGAGGCATATTGCAGCGCCCGGCCATCGTTGCTCACCGCCTCCATCACGAGGTTGGCATTGTCTTTGCACTGTGGTCCTAGGGCACCGGAGAGGAACTAGTAGCAGTAGTAGTAGTAGTACTTAGTCGAAAGCAGTACAAGTATGTAAACAAAAGCTCTCGGTCCTCCTGTAAAAAAAACAGCAAATACCTGGAGGTCTCCGTATTCTATATACTACCCAAATATGTCCTGACTGTCACGTGTCCAAAATCGCTATAGATTCCCTCTTGGTGGACAAAGTAGGTAACTTTTCTGTAGAGCAACTGTTTTAACCCGGCCACAACGTCTGTGCAAGCTCGGTTCGGTCAAGAATTGATGATTGGGATTGATGTTGATTGTTTGCATGTTGGAACTTCTAACTATACAATCATTCCAGCCTAAAACAAACCATCTGTCGGACCCTTCCACCAGCCGCTCGGCCTGAGTATTTAGCATTCTCAAGTGATCTGAATTGAGATGATGGGAACTGACATGAACTGACCCTTTTTGCTTATGGCATGGCGTTAGATTGCTGAAAGGCCAAAGGAATTTGACATGAACAGCTTATCATCTACAGCGGCTGCACACACACAAAGCCAAGACTCCTCCCCAACATGCCAACACCACTTTTTTTTGTGCGGCTTTAAACTTCCCATTCACTCAAACTCAACTCCGGTCATACATTGTGGGGAATCTTGCTGAGAATAGCTGAAGCCTGAGGATCAACAAACAAACACAGAAACAACAACAAGCAAACACATAGAGAAACCATGAGCAACCCTCCCAACACCTGTCATGCCATATCATGCCTCTACTCCGCACATCCCAAACCAACCGGCGGAAAGGACGGACGCGGACGTTCCAAGGCGCCGGTCTCCCGGAGGGCTAAGCCATTGGCTTTCACCGCGCGAAGACCCACATCGAAGTCGTCGCGGAGCTCCTCCGAGGCATACTGTAAAGCCATCCAGTGCTGCTCCACAGCAGCCATCACCACCTGAGCGTCGCGTCGGTACACGCGAAGAAACAGAATCCGAAGCGGCTAGCGTGGCTAGCTTGGCTTGGCCGCGCCCTGCTAAGGGGGAGGGGTCGAATTTGGTGGCCGAGTTGGAGGATCTGCCTCTGATTTTTCTCGACCATGTGCGATTCTGTGGTGCAAAGCTTATCACGGGGGTTTTGTAGGCTCATTTCATCAAAAAAAGAACAAGAACAAGAACAAGAACAACAAGAACAAGAACAAGGACAAGGACAACGACAACTACAACGACAAACAACCACCTGATATCATCTCCAAGACCCACATGCGATCAGTGTTCAGACCATCTTCGGTGACTTCAGCGCGTTTGCGCTTGTTTGTCTTTGTGAGATCCGTGTAGAGTGTTGTGCTTCGGCCACGGATCTGGTCCAGGGCTTGTTTTGCCCTCTGGGTCGGTTCTGTGTCGTCGGAGTGGTTGAGGTCCGGCCGGAGGTGCTCACTTGACACTCGGAGTGTTGTGCCGTGTGCCACATCGATGCGACGTTGCGCCCTCGTCCCCTCGTACGTGCCTCGAGGTCGTCCCTTAAGGCCGGGGAAGCATAATACAGCGCCATGCCCGTGTGCTGCACGGCAGCCAAGACCACCTGTTCGGCTTCGATGTGACTGCGAAGTACGACCAGTACTAAGACATGATTGACATGGCAAAGGCCTCGAAGTTTGGGGTAAGCACCACGTCTAGAGTCTACATAGGTCTCAAACATGGTTTGGGAACATTGGCCGGAGCGGGCCCCCCTGCCTCCTTCTCGGCCCGGAAGTCGCCCATCTTCCGCAGCTCCAAGCCATCGACCTTCACCGCAGCCAGTGCCTCCTGCCGCGCTGCCTCCAACCTCTGTGCTGCCTCGTCAATCATGACGAGATGGCGAGCCGGGTCGGTGGATGGTGAGACTGGAAAGAGTAGAAGCATGGACGGTCCATCCCAAAATAGGGGCATCACGGTGGATGGTGTAGGCAGGTTTCGTGGTATGGCTGCAGGGAAACTGTTTGGATTACGTCAAGAATGGTCGCTCTCGTGAGATCTTGCGTACTGTCAAAGAGCTGTTCTTTCCCTTGGGGGCCTTGGACGGTGACGCTTAAGGAACCACTTGCGACTGGCTCCATATCCTCAGGTTCGGTGGTTAGACCCTCTGGCACCCACCATAACCATCTTCGAAAAGGAGGTAGGCCAGGAGCCCTGGGGTTTATTCCTGATCAACATCATGATTGCAACTGTGTTCATTGATTGGTGTGTCTCCCGATTTACTTCTGGGCTGGCGCTGACCATGGTCGCCACGCAACTTAAACGCTGCGTTGTGGTGAAACAGGACTCAAGCTGGAGCCAAGAAAGGTTGAGCGGCTTGGTCCGTGTTGGCCCTCCGGAATTCACCGCCCCCAAAGGGCCAGGCCGATGCTACGTGTTCGGCCTTCTCCCATTTCCAGTGTTTGGAGGGTTGGCCGTCTTTTGGTCGTTGGATGAGGGGAATACGTCAAACTCCCTATAGAAAAGAAGTCCAACAAGACTTGGACATCTTTCTTCTTTTCTGCTGTGATGTTTAGATCCCTCCGAGTGCCCTTCCCCAAACAAATGGCAGCGGATGACCACAGTAGACCCTGCTCATGTACACTAGGATCTTCCAACCATGCAACAAGTCTGCATGCTGGATGGGTTTTGGTATGAAAAGCTGTATATCTTGCGCAGTTGGAGGAACCAAATAGGATTCCCAAACACTGTTCCTCAATCTATCGTGCTGCTACTCACACTCCACAAGGTCTCCGCAATAGGAGACCCTTTCAGATACTTCCAGTTGTGACCTGGCTAGCTCACAAAGCCTACCACCCTGCTTGAGTCCCAAACAATACAAAGTGGCTGGAAGGTCAACAGGGCCCCATGTGGGGATGCGTTAATTTACCTGATGTTCACCTATGGCTTTGCTTCAATCATCTTCAGTTCATCCTCCAAAGGAATCTGACAGTCTTGGACCCCTCATCTGAGTCTTCTAGAAGCTCTTCTATACCTGACCACCCACTGCTGGGTGGCTGCCTCTGAGGCACCGCACGTGCCACGGCGCGCAAACAGTTCGGAGACAGGTGGCGACTGCTTTGGGCGGGGTTTCCCAAGCGGGAGAAATTGGATGTGACTTTCGTCGGGTCATTTTGGAATCTTCAGAGAGGTGTTCACTGAGGGCGACTGATGGTGACTGACCAGAGGGCGAGGGCCTCAGGGTTCTGTGATTTGTGTGATTTGTTGATCATTATTGGTCTCTTCGATGCGTGGTCAATGGCTGAACACCATGGGCCTTGGAAGCTGTTGGGCCTTCTTAAGCTGTGAGAGTCTGATGGCTTCTTAAGCTGTGAGGTCTGAAGTTTAACATGTTTCTGCGAATCGCAAGCACGTGGGGGGTTACAACTAGTCTTCAGCTTGGATTTGCCCAAACCTGTCAGGAGCCTGTGTTTGTTTGGCTTGGTCTGCTGTCCTAGACACAAATTGACAAAACTTTCAAGTTTACAGCTTGACTTGGCTGGCGCGATCATTGGTTGACAAGTGCTGGAATCAGAATGACAGTGAACTCTTGCACACACAATCCAAGCGACAATTAAATAAAACACAATAAACAAATAATGTAAACGAACCAACAAACTCCTCTGCCAAGAAAATCTGCAAACCCCCAAGGTCTGCTGCCAAGCGGGGTCCCTCATATCCCTGCAAAAACAGATGCTGCATAGCCGCATAGCCCTGACTCACTCACTACCCCTGTCCTGTAATTGTTAATCTTGGATTTGATGCCCAGCAACCGGGAAAGAAAACGTCACACATCTTCCCCAGCAAGGGGGATTCACTGGTATCTCGAGAAGAGTTTAAAGCAAACGCACCATGAGCAAAACCAAGCAAAACCAGTCAGATCAGGGTACACAAATTTCAATTTCAGAAAATCACCACCTGGGTCATCCTGTCTGGGTGCCCTGGCTGGACTACCCAGCCCGCTGCTAGACTGGACCTCCAGACAGGACACCCAAACAGGATGATCCAAAACCAGGATAACTCAATATTGTAATTCCATTCAGATTCACACCAAAAACAGGATGATTGTTCACGGATGATCACCTTTTTGTTTTTTAAATAATCCAATGACCTAGGCTACCGGCCTAGGTCATACAGCTCCTAGAGGGTAAACAAAGTGCCACTGATCCCATGTTTTGGGTCGTTGATGCTCCGATCACCTACAAAACACCCGCCCAATCCGATCTGATCCTGGACTCCCTGGACCACCAAACCCGCCTCGGACGGCGGACGGCGGCCGGCAGGATGGCGGGTGAGGCCGCGGGTCCGAGCGGGACATGGAGGCTCATGGAGGTGGTGAACATGAAAACAGGAGGTTTGAGAAATAGACATGTTAATTATCCAAATAGACACATGAAAAACGGGATTGAGGTTTGAACAAACGGGAAACATGGAGGTGCATGGTGCTAAACTCAGTTTGGCAGCAAGTTTGTTGCGAGATGAATCTGTGACCTGAGAGGCGGTTTGAGGTTCTTATTAATGCAGCTCGCTGAAGGTTTGTTCAAGTTCAGTCATTCGTTTCGGGTCGGGTCGGTCGGTGGGGTGAAGGGAAAAGCGGCGCCGGAAGACTCGATCTCCACGGAAGACGAGACCGTGCCGTTGTCTTACTCGAGGCCCTTGGAGTTGCGGCTCAAGCCACACATACACGTGCACCCAAAGGCTGTAAGAAGAACTAAAGCGCAAACAGGCCGCTAAAAAAGGGAGATATAATATGATATAATGAGACATAGAGTGACTATCATGACGCATGCATACCTTGGATTTGCAGCTCCCGGACCAAATACCAGGATCCCCAGGTTTGGGGATTCACCCAGTTCGGGAGAATCAACCTCACCCCTCAGGGGGAAAAGCCATGAAAAACCCAATATACCCACCAAACGGTGGGCTTGCGCCACTCCGCCGCACCCGCACCCGCCAGTCCGGGCGTCCCGGGCTAGACTGCCCAACGAGGCCAAGACACCTGGGAGGGCCTCGGAGTGTCAGCTCCAGGCGACATGGTGCGACATGGTGCGAGGGGTGGGGCGAGGGGTGGGTCTCTTCAAGTGAGTGCAGAAGAAGCTCACCATGGCCCAAGAAAAAACATGGAAAACCTTCCTGAACATCATGGTAAAATAGACATTGAAAGACTATGAACCGCCTCAAGACTTGGATCCTTGAGCGAACCACTGCTGGGGAGGACCGAGTCAAGAGAGTTATGTTTTGCCTTTTCGGATGCCAATGAATCCAAAGATGGCTCTCAGCCACAGGGTGGAAGAATTGATGAATGTGCTGAACACCCGAAATCAGCTTTGGTCTACCACCAACATGTCAAAGGCTTTGACGGACCACATAGGTGTCCTTGAAGCACGAGCAACAAAAAAACATAAAATACGTAAACAATGCACACATTGGAAACCATCATGACTGCATGCCTCGTGGGACTGGCAACGTTTGGAATGTGAAAAGGACCTGGACAAGACACGACCTGCGCATACCTTCGCACCCATCCATTGTGACCACGTCTGGCACAGCCGAAAGGTGACGAGTGACAGCTTTAGGCCGGGTGGGGACCCCGGCCAGGCTCATAGCAGCCTCCACCATGCTACCCACCTGAGCATGTGCGATCAGATCGAACGAAGAATTCGTCAACCACCATGTTGGTTTCCAGCAGATCCCAGGAGAGATCCCATGTCGGGGTGCTTTTGATTTCGTCCCCTGGATGGGGCTGTGGATGTGATGTGGCACCCACCCAACTCCTTCCTCCGTTCGGGACCCTGTGGCTCCTGGACGGTTCACGTCTGAGAGCGATTCCCCGTCTGCGATTCAAAACCGGTTTCTTTGCATGAATGGGGGATCGAAGCAAGTCGGAGGCCCGCAAAGAGTTTTGATCATCAGATGTGGGATACCTATCAACAGGACAAACTAATTACCAGATTTCTCTCTGACTTAACACGAGCAATTGCGGTCCAGATTGGCCAACTTGGATTTGCTGAAGTTGACTGTAAGCGTTGACCGTAAGCTGAAGACCTGGACACTCCACGTATGGAATATATAAGTCAGCCCCCCAAAACCACCCCAGGGAGTGGGCAAATATGATCAAGTATGACAGTCCCATGGGAGTGTCTGGGATAAGAAAACCCGGTTCCAAACACTGGGGAGTTAGTTTGCAGGGTCACCCCGTGTCGCGCCGGCCTCAGCGGTTTCCGCTGCTGCCTCTGCGCCGGCAGCGACGGTTTGCGCGCCCTGGCGCCGTGAACGTCGAAGAAGTGGGCGTTGACCTACCAAAGCCTGCCAAACACCGAAGATTAGGGGCTCCTGGCCTAGGCAAACGAACGGAGCGATCGGACGCTACGAACGGGGCTCCTGGCCTTACAACCAGCAGTTCCCCTTCAGACGTCCCTTACGTCCGTTGGATGTGACAACCCCGTCTTGACCCCCGCTTCGAGAACTGGCACCTATCCGTTTGGAACACACCGCGAGAACTGGAACTGCTGTTTTTTTTCTGGGCCGCAAATGGTCTTTGCTGGTAGATCATTAAACAAACCCATGTTTCCTCGGTCTCTTTGCACGAGCAATAGGCAATGTCCCTTCTAATTCTTGGTCCGCCAATAGGAAAAAGAACACCACAGTGATAAATCTTCTTGATCCGAGAAAGCTTGGCACAGCGAGCAGCAGAGTGATATCTCCAATGCACCTCGGCCGCCGACATGGCCGCCTGCAGGAGAAAATGGGTGGAGGAAAGACATAAA